TGACATGCTATTTTACCATGTTCGTTTTCACAATACAAGCCAATAAAGACATATTCCAAACAACACTAATGAATACTATCTCTTAAGTTCGTCTTTTTGTAACTCTAATTAACAGATATCTAATACGTAAAACAAAGTATTTTTCTATAAACAAAAATTCGGATGAGAATACGAGATGCCAGGTTACGATGCATAATAGTGAGCAACAAATAAAATGTGTTGAGGACAGCACGCCTGTTATTGATACGATAGCAAAATAAATGCTTAATTACTGGAAAAACTTATTTTGGTTTTTCTTTTCTACTTTAGAATTTATAGATATTCCTTACAAATTGTAAGTAATAGCAGGACTTGTCGTACAGTAACATTTTAAATGGAACGGTCAGGACTAAACAACAGAGTCAGCTTGTTAACCAAGTTTATCCTCTTAAGTAAAATGTCGATCGATGGAAAATGGTTACAGTTGCCTAATCATGATAGAAGGATATTAACAAGTCACTAAAAGCAAATACTAACACATTTGTGTCGAAAGGGGAAACAAATAATTATCTAGCACAAAATTCATGTGTATAAATCTAGTAATAATCTTATTTGTGCAATGAAGTAGTTGCATATCCATTCAAGCGAATATAGTAAATCAGTTTAGGTCAAATTTTAGGGACCACATAACAAATAAAGGCAAAATAATTACAGATGTTGTAGGTCAACATACAACCACTTTATTTGAACTTTGGTGGATAGTTTGTCTCATTGACAATCATACCACATTATTTTTATATATATTTCTTACAAGAGAAAATTAGAAACCTTATTTGTAGTAAAAATCACGGTAACATGAGCTTCCTGTTTAGTCTAATGAGATTGTAGATTGTATACTGTTACGGATTCAAGTCGGTCTGGATAAAAAAAATAAGTAAAATCACTTTTGTAGGTCATGGAAAAAATTAAGAAGATACTTGGGATCCGAGTGCGATAATGAAAATTAGAAAGTTCCAATATAGAGATAAACATTTACGTACTTTTTTTCTTATTACGTCAAAAAGACTAAACTTGTGAATATAATAAGGTTCCCACTATCTTGTGGCTTCCTTAGTCGAACAAGAAACCTTACACATTTAATTTTATTTTTGCATCGAGAAAATGTTCCGACTATGTATAACGTCACAGTACCTAATTTGCACCCATTTTGCAAAACAAATAAGCAGCGGAAATCTTACAGGTTTCTTAGAGACTAAACAATTTGTATTTTTATAATTAGCCGTTATGCACGTTTTTCAACATGGCTGAATATTTTTAGATATACACAAAACAGTCACATTATATATCAACAGATGAAGTATCCGAGAAAAAAGGTAAAATTTACGGAAACGTCGCGTGCGATGTCCACAAAAAGTCAACTTTTAAAAATGAGCATAGCAGATTATATCACAGGCATCTTTTCTTACAAAATTATTATAAATATGATTTTTACGGATGTGATGTAAGCAATTAAGGTACTCCTCATTACAGAATCTTGGGTCGTTTAAAGGTCGGTTCAAACCCGTTTTCTATGATTCAGTTAGGAATCAAAATTAAAGGTGTGGAAATAATAATAAATAAAAATTCAAAAAACACACGCTTGGTAATTTTTGTCTGTTTCTTTTATAAAGTTCGGTTAAAAAAACAGTCCAAATAGGAACAATTTTGGTACCTCCCGTTCAAAATTAATTTTTTCTGTTCACCTTAACACCAAGGACCTCATTATCTTTATAACATGATATTGTTTGAAAATAGTTTTCACTTCTAAAATGGTTTTTAACTAAACAGTCTTTTCGATCTACACCGATTTAAGGTTTCGTGTACATTTTTTTGCATGTTGTCTGTTTTACATCGACTTACCAGTTTTCTCTTTTTGAAGATGGAAAATTTAATAAGTAAGTAATGTTTTGTTGACCGTAGAAGAATTGTGCTTTCTTTTTTGTAGTATCTTGTGTTAGGGTATTTATTCATCCTTTTCTTTACAATTTTTAGGTTTGAGCGTTCCTAAAGAAGGTAAATCAAGAAAACGGCTTCGATCGCACGGGATTTATAAAATATTTTCTTGCAGTCAATTCCAAAACATATCAACTGCAGTTGGTTCCGTACTGTATGTGCATGTGCAAAGCTTTTAATACTGCATTTAAACTTAAAAGTTCTGGATTTACTGCAACCGAAACGCCGGACCATAAATTCGAAATTCGAAAGATAATATCTGAAAGATAACACTCGTACCATAATGAAACATTTGTATGTTAAATCATTTAAGATTATCTTGCCATCAAAATTGCCGTTTAAGGTTAAAGTTCATTTGGTAGTGTTTAATAACTATATAAACTCATCATTAAAATCTTGTATGCCAGACACGTAATACACATTTCAATCTGTGTGCGATCTGAGCATGTCTATGTTAATGCACAATGCTTTGCTGTTATCACAATATAATATCTGTAACCAGACGATCAAGTGAGAATATAAGATGCAAGGTTACGATGCGTAATAGTGAGCAACAGTTACAACAGCTACAATTGTGTTGAGGACAGCACGCATGCAATTGATACGATAGAAATATGGATCGTTGAATTACGGCTAAAAAGGATTTATTTCTACTTTAGAATTAAGCTTTTTTTCATTTGATCTCTAAGTTTCCAGCATGTACAATATATATTACTATAAAATCGTACGTAATTACAGTATATGTCGACAGCAAACATTTTAAATGGAACGGTTTAGGACTAAACAACAAAGTTAGCTTTTAACCAATATATCCTCTACATGAAAAAATCGATCAGATGGAAAGTGATAACAGTTGCCTAATCAGGACAAAAGGATGTTAACAAGTCACCAAAAGCAAATACTTACACACTGGTGTTGAGAGGGTAAACAAATAACCTATTAAGAATTCGTGAAAATGATATTCAGCTCATCGATCGTATAAATCTAGTAATAGTCGCTTGCGTGCAATGAAGCAGTTAAATATCTATCCAAGCGCATGTAGTAAATCAGTTCAGGTCAAATTTTAAGGACCACATAACAAATAATGACAAAATAATTACAGATCTGGTAGGTTAATATATTTCTTCCAAGAGAAAATTGGAAACCTTATTTGTAGTTTAATCACATATAACATGAGCGTCCTGTTGAATCTAATGAGACTGTAGATAACAACTTCAGCATTTGTATACAGTTACGGTTTCAAGTTAGTCTAATTAAAAATAAACAAGTAAAATCCCTTTTGAAGGTCATGGAAAAAAATAAGAAAATTCAGGGGATCCGAGGAGGCAATCAAAATCTGAAAAGTACAGACCACACCATGGTCGTTTGTAAGACCATTAAAAAATCAGAAAAATCTACATGTACATAGAAAACTACAGATTAAGCATAAGGAACCGAACTCAAAAACCGGGCTATCGCTAGGGTGATCCGGCTGAGTCAGCAGTTGAATGTAATTTAATTTACAATTTTTTTAAAAACTGACGAAAACTGTCATATATGTTTGCTTTTAATAAGGTTTGGATTTTCAAATATTTTGGCCTACAGCATCACTGAAGAGACATTCATTGTCGAGATACCCATCTAGTGCAGTAACATTGGAACCGGTAATTATATTGATAAATTTGGAAATTGAATAAAAAGATAGGTTTATAATACCCCAGGCAAAATTGACCCAAATGTATTTGGGTCTTTAGAACTTGCAATGTTAGATCCATTTTAGTCAGAGCTTCTCACGTATTCAGGTATTTATATACATCATTGGCTTTTAAGTTTTGGGTTCGAGCGTTCCTGATGAAGGTTAATCCGAAAAGCGCTTTTGACGAATCAACATTTTTTAAGTTTTTTCATTTTTTTCATATTACATATAATTTATAGCTTGGCTACATCTTAGGTGACATAATTTCAAGATCTTATTAGTCTTAAATAGTAAATCGGAACCTTATATGTTTTAGGTCAGCAAAATTGAGTGTCAACCGATGTAGTGCACATTTAGTGTCAATATAAGTACACATGACACGAGTTCCTGTAGTAAAATCATTAGGTTATATCCTGGTCATAAGTTTTGAAACTCAAATACAAACATATTAGTTTCAAGGCGATTACGACCTTACTTCATTACATACTTTATAAACTTTAAAAAAATAGTTAAAAATTTACATGTTTTTTTTACCAAAATATATAGTTTGCTTCATGATAGTAATGAAGCACTGACTTTAATGCTGTCAGCTACATGTATGTATCTGCCATACAGAGGTCCGGCCCAGTGCTATTAAGATAAAGGTAAAATGCCAATTTCAGTAGAAATGAGATATGTCTTCCTGAAATAATCATCATCACCTTCACTCCAGGCCAAGAAATATAAATGTCACCAGTAGAGTAGGATCTGCTTGCCCTTCCAGAGCACAATAGTTCATCCCTGATTCTCAATCTTTTGATTTTTGTGTAGTGTTTTGTGGACTTGTTAGTCACTTTGTCGTTTTTCGTTTCGGGCATGGTATTGTTTTTCGACGGTTATAAAGTCACCTTGGTATCTTCTCTCCTGTTTTTCAAATGTAAAACAAAATCAAAACAGAAGAGTTAAATATGGCTTAAATCAACTTTTCCCGATAAACAGGATTACATTGGCAACAACGGCTGTACATAAACATATAACCAAAGTATCATCTCTAATAGAATGTTATTACAACAATTAAAAATGAATTTTAATGATGATTGTTGACACTTTTTTTTATAATTTGTTCATTAATTGACATGAAAGAACAATGGTTTGAGTTGCAGAAATTTCTATGTTGTTACAGATTTTTTTTTTCAGCTGTCTTTAAAAATTATACATTACTGTAATTACATTTTTGGTCACGTACACTGCCAATGCATTTTTGTTTCAAATTGTATATTAAAATCATGTACTTACGCAATTAGTCCCTTCAAAAATCAATTATTTTTTCATGTATGCCAGACAATGTGAACATTTAATTGATTAATACATGAAATAAGCAACTTTTATAAAAGATTTTATTATGAATAAGCAAACACTTTTTACATAGAAACTATATATATATACATGGACTCCCGTTTAAATAGCTGCACTCTACCAGAAATAAAACGGTGTATGAGAAAATTCTAAATAATGTACATGTTTACGATAGAAATACAAATTTCTTTGTCGAAATGACCCCAATCCGTATATATTAAATTATCAAGGATGTTATATTCATAACAAATAACATCATCTAACTGACCCATAATACAACGAAATCAATAATTATATTTGCCCTATTTATGAAGATTGTTTAGGCCAAAAGATCTTATAACGCAGTCCAATAAACAAAATACTAACTCAAATTGCAGATGCTTTGCTTTCTTAAATATATGTTACAGAACAAATTAGAATTCAGTTGGATATAGAATCCTAATACAAATTGGAATTCCAATGTCTAATAGCAGAAATTGGAATTCTCGGTTATACTATAAACTCAACTATTACAAGTTAGAATTCCAGTCGATAAACATCAACCAATCAATCAAAAAAATAACAACTGTCGGATCAGATTCTATTTAGAAAAATCTATTTAAAAGTTGCTGAATATGTTTTCGACTCTACAAAATGGCTATAGGTGGATCTTTAAATGGTTTCCTAACAGCTTTCGTAATGGCAGACCAAAACAAGTCTTCGCCTAACCCTTGTTGATATTGCAGATGTGGAGTTGTGTCAAGTAAAGACCTCTTAGAATTGGTCATGTGACTTGAATCTATTTGACTGTGCATTATAAGAATAAGTCTTTCCCATAGCGACGCCTTCTTTCATGTACCAGGTCAAGTTCCCATTGACACCATTCACTTTTTGTAAAGTTATTCGACATAACAATAATAACTTTCCAACTTTTGCCGATATATTTTGTAATGTTGTCTGTGATGGTCCCCCAAGATCAAAATCTCGATGGTGAACGCAAACTTTCAAGCCAATTCCTTCCAGGCGTTTAAGGAGATCTAAATGGACCCATTGCCGATCTGAATCGCAGTATATAACAAAAGAATCGTATTCACAGCTTTCGGAAGAAATAAAACGAATGTACCCTTTTCTTTTCCATTCGTTGACACGAAGAAGATAGATAAAGTTCCGAATGTTTGCATTACAGTTAAATATAAGAACTAAAACCACAGCAGAAATAAAAAGGGATACACCAGTAACAATGGCTATTGTAAAAACTGGACTCCATGTTGAGCATTCAGCGTCTGTGGGCTAATAGTCTACGAGAGGATGGCTTTTTTTTATCGTCTGGGTATACGCACGAGTAGCCAATTGGCCAATTCTTCAGTATTTTAGAAATATTTGAGGATCGCAAATAATCAACAAACCATCTCTGTGCACATGTACACCAGAATTGATTTTGAGATATATCAAATTTCTCCAGCGACCACAACAACTGGATCGGAAACGATGATTCATTAATAACCTGTATGTTGTTTCCATCCAAATATAGATGCCTTAATGATGTAAGATTTTTGAATACATTTCGGTTCCAGGTCACGATTTCATTACCTTTCAGATTGAGGATTTTTAAAAAAGGTATTTTTTGAAATAATCTTTCCGGCAATCTCTTTATGTGTGTTGCTCGCAAATTCAGAACGATCAAATTTGACAATGGAGAAAATAGATTCCTAAATATAACAGGACTGTTTGTTATATAATTGTTCGATAAATCTAATTTTTGCAGACTTGGTACGGGTTTGAACAGTGCAGTCTTAACACGAAATCCATTGTCACTAAATTTTAACTCTTTCAAAGAGGGGCATGCAAATGCCCTCGGTTCAATTATTGACAGATGACATATCTTATTTATCGAAAGTATTTCTAAATTTGCAGTACGAGAAAAAATGTTATTTTCTTAAGTTATTAGACGGTTTTTGTCCAATATAAGATGATTAAGATTATCTAGACAATTAAAAGACGTCGAAAGCAGTTTACGAATTACGTTATCTGTCAGATCCGGCGAGATAACCTAGGTACTAAAGACTGTCCTGCTTCATCGGCACAAAAAGCTGGATTCTCAAATATGTAATTATCGAATAAAGTTAATTCAGTAACTGCGTGTAAACCACGCGCATTTAGGAATACAATCTCATTTCTATCAATATTAAGCTTATTTATCCTGGAAAAAAAAGACAGTACACTACCATTAAAATTCCTGAATTTATTTCCGATAAACGATATTTTATTCATAGTGTAGTTTCTAAAATCAGAAAAGAAGTCCATTGGAAGACTTTTCCAAGCATTGTTTATAAAACGCAAATTACTCATTAGAAGTTTGTTTAAACTTCGGAATGACATTTTTAGGGTCAAAATATTTAATTTTCGTTCATGTGATATTTCTAAATGTCTGAGATAATTCAATTCCTTAAATGCATCTGCAGTCAAGTCTTCTATTGAGTTGTTGGTGATCACCAAACTGATTAAGTTATTGTTCGAAACATTTCGAAATGTGTCCATGTTTTCTATAACAGCTGCAGAATTTTTTCAGACATGGTATATCGCTCTTTTCTACTGTTAGTTGAACATACGTGTACCAAATAAAATAAACAAAATACAAATGTAAATAGTCCATGTCTTCTTGAACTATCACATCAACAATAAATGTGTTGGCTAGATGAAAAATATTGAAACAATTTCCTTCCGAACCATCTCACATGATTGAACTCGTGCAAACTACGTACCATCATGTGTCATACTCATACAGAGCAAACAATGTTACTTCCTTGTGAAAATAACAGCATCTGAAATAATTTTTTTCATTTTCAAATTTATATGGTTACAGAAAACAAGGAAGTAAAGATAAACTTTTATGTAATTCACCTTAATATATAAAAAACTTCGGATTCATTTATCGTTATGGAATCACGAAAAAAATATTTGACTGGATTTTTTGCGACATTGTTTAATTCAACACATCTACATACAAGCCAATGGATGGTATTCCGTTTGTTGAACATTTGACAATTACTCACGAAAATAAGTATGCAAAGAGTAATTACGAATCCACAGTAACTTATTAATTTTATTTAAGATAAAGAATATCATACCCATCTATAGTTTTCATATTTCCTCGAATGTCTGTACATGTATTTTTGAACTACTCACAATTGTCTTTTTCTCTACAATAACTCTTTTTATAAAAGGTAAGGCAAATTTCCTCATATTTTATTTCCCAACATGAACATGTTTAAAATCTAAATATTATTAGCGTACTTTATATTGTTTCGTATTTTTTTTTTTACATATAACAAAAAATTGGTACTTGCATGAAAAACGGTATAATTTGTTTTAATAAAATTTGTAATACACTTTTTCTAAAAGAATATCAATTAACACAGTAGTAGATCTTTGAATATTGTTTTTATTGATAACTCCATTGGTTTTGTTTTGTTTATTATTAAATAGGTATTGCTATATATTTGTGAAACGTATGGTCCTACATCCTGTCGATAGTATCATGATTATGTAATGGTATTTTGACAATGCATACTGCCATGCTTTTCTCACTGAATATAAATCGGTTGAATGTGTACTGATTGCAAATTTAGACTGGAAGAACATAATTCATGTATTAGTTGTTATTTGTTTTGAACTAGCTTTCAATAACTACTAGTACTCAAAGATCAGTACTTTGATTCTTTTGTTTAGTTGGGTTTTTTTTCATCACAATCTGACTATTCAAACCATGTCCAAATGATTTTTTTAGTGTAGTCATAAGCTTTTCAGATACTTTTCATAAAACTATACTATAGAGTTAGGTTGGCTGATTAAGACCAGTCTAGACTAAATTTAAAGGTCAAGAATGAGTTGAGACTGGTCGAGCATTTGTCGAGACCATATTTAGACTATACCAAGAGTATCAAGTACTCAATCAGACTTATTAAGTCAAGTCGAAACCAAAGTCGAGTTACAGTTAAGTACATTTAAGTACTGTCGAGATTATGTCAAGTCTTGTCAAGTAAAATATGTGCTCGACCTTACTGGTCAAGCACAAAATATGGTCTTTTTCAGACTCTGAGCAGTTTGTAGTGTAGAGCTTGCATTTGTTTTATAATGATTAAGACTATAACACAATGTTGACTGCTGTACCCAAATTTTTCACATTTTTACCTATTATATAAATAAGAAGATGTGGTAGGAGTGCAAATGAGACAACTCTCCATCCAAGTCACAATGTATTAAAAGTAAACAATTATAGGTCATAATACGGCCTTCAACACGGAGCCTTGGCTCATAAAGAACAGCAAGCTATAAAGGGCCCCTAAATGACTAGTGTAAAACACATTAAACAGGAAAACCAACGGTCTTATCTACATAAAAAATGAGAAACGAGAAACACTTATGAACCACACCAATAAAACGACAAGCACTGAACAATGGGCTCCTGACTTAGGACAGGTGCATAAAAATGCAGCGGTTTTAAACGTTTTAACAGGCGCCAACCTTCACCTTAACCTGAGACAGTAGTGTAACATTACAACATAAAAAGACACACTATAAAATATCAATTGAAATGACTTAACTCGATCAAAAAGACATTTTAACAAAAATAAGTAAACATACACTGAACGAATAAGTTTAATCTATGACACAACATGAATACAATATTAATAAAAGAAAAGATGCAGTGTCAAAAGAAATTTTCTACATAAGGAAATGCCTGTACCAAGTCAGGAATATGACAGATGTTTTCCATTCGTTTGATGTGTTTTGAGCTTTTGATTCTGCCATTTGATAAAGGACTTTCCGTTTTGGATTTTCCTTGGTGTTCGGTATTTTTGTTCTAATCTTTTATACAAATTGAAGGAATACATCCAAATTTCCTTTATAGAACATATAGAACAAAATTGCCTACATAGATACAAATATGTCGTTTATGGAAGGGACAAATTATTTTTTATAAACAAGATCATCCATAGAGCCCGAGTCGCTAACCTTGTAAACATATACAAAACATTATTACAATTACCAACCTCGGCAACCATCAGTCGAACAGAAATAGCATTTAAAGGTGCCAATTTTCCTGCTCCAGATGAATGTTTTGACAATAAATAAATCTTAAGCTATGCCTGAGGCCAGTAAACTTGGTAAATTCAAACCTAGTACAGAGGACGAAGAGCTGGTAGAAAAGATCGAAACACACACATAAGGAATCAGAGCTCTGCAAGACAGACACATTGATAATAAATAAAACAAATGAAAAACCATAAATCACCTATCAAAAGAATCAAAACTACTTCATTATCCAAATTAAAACATTGAAAAGAAAAAACAAGTCTTCAATACAAAACACAGAACCCTAAAGATTGAGAAACCCCAATTAAAATCGGGGGCTAGTTCAAGTTTTTTAGAAGGGTTATATTACATGTATCTTGCTGTAGTGTCACCCGTTCAGTTGCATGGCAAGTGAATACCTAGATAAAGCACGATGGTGGTCAGCATTATTGTGGCTAGGACAATTGGAACATTATTATGTGACGCATATATTCTAAAACAGTTAACCAAATCAAGAGCCATCATGATTTGGTTGACTATTTTAGAATATAATTTAAGGTCCGTAAAACTTTCCGAGGGATGACTTTTCAAAATCAGTCTCTTATGAGGAACGGAGCTATTCGGCACGGAAAGATGCAGTCAGTTCCAATTAATAGTGATTGGATTTTCACTGAAAACAAAAATTCATAAGATTTCCTAAATTTTAACAATGCAAGTTTTAGTATTTCATGCAAGTACTTAATACTAAGCTACTGGACTGGTGATACCCTCGGGAACTAACAGGCAAACAGCAGAGGTGTTGACAAAGTGGTAATAATAACACTAAACGATATCAATTTTACTGAACAAGATACGCATTTCTGCAAATAATGTCCTTTGGTGATGGTCGATACCTAGGTCACTAAGTAAGATTGTGACCAGGTTGTTCCACTCGGGAAACTTTTATCAAAAAAGTGGTAAAGCCATGTAAGGCAAAACAACTAAGGGTCAATTGAGAATATCTATTATTTGTTTTTCAATGATAAAAATGTTATATGTAGTTCATTAGGGAAAAGGTTATTAATGGTTCTAAAGTATGAGGAGTGTGTATGCTCGTGAAATTAGTTTTGCCAATGTACGGATAGGTAATTGCAAACAATAACACGACTATAATGCAAAGTATCTTTGTTTTCTTTAATGTTTTGAATACTTCACTAGTTAACTAATACGCATAAAAGGTTATTTGAAATCTTCTTTAAAACTTAATTAAAAAAAAACGGATTAAGGGTGGAAAGAGAGCGAGAACGTGATCAAAAAATTTCAAAGAAAATCTCAAAGGGGTATCAGAAAGGGAAAACATACCCGGACTGACTGATAGCGGTATTTAACGCCACACACAGGAACTCAATCCTATATATACCTGTGTAGGGCATTGAACACCACCACACTGGTCAGTCAGTCATTGTGTGTTTCTCCCTTCCGCCCGTCCTCTCCTCAATCACAATATGAGTTTATTCCAAAGAACTGTATAAATAAAACTTGTTTTGAACCCTTTTTAAGCCTCTGTAGGCTTGGAACAAGATGACAATTTAATGATAGGTTAGTTGGCGTGTTTATCATCAGCTCAGTAGTTAGTAACTTGGTACTGACATGATTTATAACAAACCTTTCTGACAAAAAATAACAAAAATACCGAACTCCATGGAGAAATTGTCCGTTTATCAATTTTTAAATTATAAAAAAACTGACTCAGGCAAAGTTGGCCTTAAATGGATTTTGCTAATTTTTTTAAATATTTGGCTTTGATTGTTCCTGATGAAGGTAAATCCAAAAGAGCGTTTCGGACGCACGAAATTAAAAAAAAATTTGTTTTCATTACTTACAGCACAGGGTCGATACCTCTGCTGGTGGACTATCAGTCCCCAATGGTATCATCAGCTCAGTAGTCAGTACTTTGGTAATGACATGATGTATAACAAACCTTTCTGAAATTGTCCGTCTGTCAATTTTGAAATCATAAAGAGACGAAGGTTTCAACTACCTCAGGCACAGTTAGCCTTAGATGGATTTGGATTTTTTTTTATGTCCTTTTTGGTTTTATAGCTCGTCCACTATTAAGGTTCTTATACATCCTTTGCTGTCAAATATTCGGCTTTGAGCGTTCCTGATGAAGGCAAATCCAAAAAAAACGCTTCGAAAGCATGAAATTTATACTGTGTTATAATTTTTTTATGCTGTATATTATTTGTACTTGTCTGTGTTTTTATGGATGACAAGCTGTGGATGGTCAGGTTGGTTGGTGAAGCTCTTCCAATTGGTTTTGAGTGGTTTATTAGATATAACAGTTGATGGTTCATTTACCACGGCAACACGTTTACTTTCGTAATGCAAACTGGTACTTAACCTAATTGTCAATTTCAATGAATTCGAACACCATTTGACCATCAGTTTGAGCTTTAGCTGTTTCAAAAGCAACATTACCTAATCAATGAGTGGTTTTGTTAAGTAGCCATTTTGTTTAGAGGTAAATCAAGAAAATATTTTCAGACGCTTCTTCACAATGAGAAAATTGTCATAGAAATATGCACGTTGTAATGAAAAGTTTTAACTTTTCAGCAACAGTAGAAAGGATTTTTGGAAACAGAATCAGTTTTTACCAACCAAGTTTTTAAGGGTATCGTTTTTGGGACACAAATCTGTATTTTGTTAGCAAAAAGTTA